TCCCTTTCGTCATGTTCTTCCGGCCACTCATCATGCATCGTGGGTATGAATCTTTGCCCGGTTTGCGATCCTCGACCCTGGCAGGATGGTGTGGGAAAGATGACAGGCGAAGAAGCACTGTTTGGGTTGATCGAAAGGCTGAGGACACTTGAAAACGGCGTGTCCTGGTCAATTCCTTTGAAAGTCTGGTGGTATGTCTCCCTCAAAGCTATATACCCGACATGAACACGTATATGTATGGTGACCGGATATGCAACTTCTCTTATTCTGGTTAGTGAGTTGACTCCGTTCGCCTACTCTCCAGAACTGACCAAGTTGGCAGCAAACTTGAGAACCATACTTTGAGGTCACGGCAAGCCGGACCAAATCCGGATTAAAGGCTCCATGTGGCTTTTGCATCTGCCGACACTGAAGGAATCTCCTCAGTCGTGCCCAGAGGCCAATCTTGTTCCAGGGTCGGGTCTTCAGCGCCCTCATTCGGAGTGTAGTGATTGGTCTCTCGCAGGTTTGATAACGTACAGGCCTCCCGACAACTCCCAAATTTCGTCTTCGAATCAAGGAATCACTACATTCATCTGCGCAGATCATATCCGCCCCGAGTGATTCTGTATTGGAGGTGATAGACTTTGATTCCATTTCCAGAGTCTGTTCAGCAATGCGAATGATTCCGCATGTCAGACTTATGGGCTCCTCCTCTCTCGCGCGCAAGAGGTTACTCGATTTGTCAGCCCTGAACTTGGTCTGCACTGGGCCTGCAACATGGAGCTTCACCTTGGTCCCGGGGTATTTCCCAATCTGCAAATATGAGGGGCGCCACCAAGATTTCGAGTAACAAGCACTACACAATGCATGGAATGCGACTGATGAGCAAGGTTTAGACCGCTGGCTCCCAATATGCTTTGGTCCATGTCACCTCGCATCGTGTGCGCAACAGCCTCTGCATAGGCTGATGTTGTCCTGTAAGCTTTGCGGCAAGGTACATCGCAGCACCCACTGGTACAGCTGTTTCCCTTTTTCAAAAGCACTTCGGAACCCGTGTTATACTAGGCCCTGCAAGGCGCATCCTTCAGATATCCGGACTCCCTGGGATGTGTAAGAGGTGGGAATCACACTGTAAGACAGTGTGAAGTTCTTATAGTGTTGGGGAGACCATTTTCTGTGGTTCCTATCAATGCCTATTTTCATAACATAATTTATATATCCATCCTGATGTCGACTGATCGACCCAATCATAAGCGAAGGCGAAGATGCGACACTAGACCCCAAAAAGACGTTCGGTAGAGAAATAACGTCAACCAAGGCCCAACACGAAGGTGGATTACCTGCGGTGCAAGGTTTGCTGCGACGCTCGCCACCTGCTGGATCGGGCATCTGATGAGAGAGCTCGAGGCTCGGAGAGTCAGAACTCTCAAAAAGGCTGTTGGTCGAAGCCAGGTGTTTTATGCTACAATTCCCTAGTATGGTGTGGTTCTCGAACGCGCCCAAAACTCGGCCTCATTCAATCGTTATCAATTCTCCACAGTTTGAAATAGCGAAGCCGAGTCCGACACTCTGTCAACGCGACAGCTCAGAGGAGGAGGGACACAGAGGCAAAAAGGGCACATCCGCTGAAACTTGCCATAATCCCCTCGAAACCCACAGAGTGACGAGAGGACGGCCACTTTCCTGAACACGATTCCTTCATTTGACGTTTATCAGAACACCAAGAAGTCCGTACCCCGCCTTCGAATATAAGCTCAACGCCGAACTCTTGCTGCGACCTCACATTTCCTCAGGTGCTTCTAGCGGCCGTCCCTGTCTTCAGGAACCGAATCTCCTCCAAAGATGGTGTTGAATAGGATTCTTTATCAGCCTCCTGTTATGCATCCTCGGAGACGGCAGGATGTCACTCACAAGAACGTCCATCAACTCTTCCAGGCTCGGGATTTCCAAGACAGTGTTGCCGCACGCCTTGCCGACTCGGTCAAGATTCCAACGGTAACATATGATGGTATGGGTCATGTCGGGGAGGATCCTCGGTGGGAGGTTTTCTTTCAATTTTCGGATTATCTGAAGAAGGCGTTTCCAAGAGTGTGAGCATGTCGTTCAGCTCGCACGGTTCTTGTCCTAACTATTTGCAATAGATACGAACAACTGACGGTCGAAACGGTCAATCAGCATGGCTTGTTGTACACATGGCGTGGGTCACAGGAAGCCATGAAACCCCTCTTGTTCATGGCACATTCAGATGTAGGTGTAACATGTTGCCTTGCTTGAGGATAACGATTTTGACATTATTCAGGTCGTCCCCGCCGGCGAGTCGACTTCCGAAGAATGGACTTATTCTCCTTTCTCAGGCCATTACGATGGGGAATATATCTGGGGTCGAGGCTCCGAAGACGACAAGTCGAACCTCATTGCAATGTTGACAGCTATCGATTGTTTACTTGCATGCGACTTCATACCACATCGAACTGTGATCCTCTCGGTCGGCTTCGACGAGGAGGGTGGAGCCGAACAGAGTTACGGTGCCAGATGTCTTGCGGAAACTCTATTGGACAGATATGGGAAGGACGGTATTGAAATGATTGTGTGTTGGCTCGCCGACTGTGCTGGACAATCGCTAACATCGACTCGCAGTTCGACGAGGGTATTGCAGGCATCGAGAATCGTTTTGGGACCGACTTCGCACTTCCTGCGACTGCCGAAAAAGGATATATCGATGTCACTGTGACTGTCAATGTTCCTGGGGGTCATTCTTCCACTCCACCTGACCACACGGCCAGTTTGTCCTCCCCATCCCATTTTGCTGGCTGAAACGTTCTGACGCGGAGATAGTTGGCTTTTTGGCCCAAATAATTCGATTGATCGAAGACCACCCATTCAAATCACAGCTGGTTCGAAACAATCCGACTCTGACTTACCTTCGACAAGCAGCGTTGTATTCCAAGAAAATGCCGGAAGATCTGCGAGGGGCGATTCTCGGCGCACAGAACTCGAAGAAGCTCCTCGAATATATGGAAAGCGACCGCGAGAGACGTGCCATGATCAGAACATCCACGGCTGTTGATGTGATCCAAGGCGGAGATAAGGGTAAGCGGGCCACGCTTGCTGGTCTTCGACGCTGTCGGAACAGACACGACCGTAGTCCAGGCGGAGCTAATTGGTCCCTTAGTGAACTCGCTCCCAGAAAATGCCAGTGTCCTCGTCAACCATCGCATCGCAATACAGGACTCTGTCCAGGCCGTGAAAGACCACTATGTTCATCTCCTTGCGCCTTGGGCCCAGGAACAAGGTTTCAAACTCCAGGCTTTCGGTGCTAAGGCTCAACAAGAAGACAGCACCTCGACGCGACCGGGTAACAACACTGCCGATTGTGGCGACCTCACTCTTTCCGCACATTATGAGCTGGAATCATCACCGGTTTCGAGCGCAGAGGATGCCCGATTCAGATTACTCGCCGGTACCATCAAAGGTGTCTTCGGAGATGATGTTGTTGTAGCCCCAGAGTTGTTAACTGGTAAGTCGATGTTGACTGGGGGGTTCAGACTTTCCTCGATAGATGCTAAGAAAGTCAGGCAACACCGACACCAGATATTACTGGGACCTTTCGCCACAAATATATCGCATGTCTCCATGGCGAGCCAGTCATGACCCTCGAGGGACCCGGATGCACACGGTGGACGAGAGAATGCCGATTAAAGGTCTTATGGAGATGGTACACTTTTACCACGAATTCATCCGAATAGTCGACGAGGTGCACGTGGATGATACCCAATCGATTCACAATCAGACTCGACACGAGAGCGCCATTTCACCTGTCCCCTCACAGCAGCTATGCGTCACATGAGCAACTGGACTGTGGAGTTGTCTACTTTGTATGCCGGCAAGCGTGGGAAAGTGTTGTAATTGCCCAAGTGCGAAAGTTCCCCCCGGTCTGAAGCACACCAGCACAACAGCCTTTTATCAAGCCGATTCGACAGACTGTGGATATGGTGTCGACATGCTTGCAAATACTTGTCAGCAAGAGTTGGATTCAGACGAGAAAAAAAATTTAACGCCCGAGTCCCCTCTCCAGAACCAAAGCATCTGGGGGCTCGTAGGCACTAACCCGTCTGGAGGGCTTGAAGCGAAGACGGAAATTCTCCGGCCAAGCAGTTGGCGAAATTACGGGAGAGAAGTGTCCAAAACACATCCCAACTCCAAACACACATCAACGAATACCGCGATGGAGGGCTATCTCCACGTCAAGAGCGCTGCGCTCGCTGCGGCGTGCGTCCTTCGGCCCCTTTACAACGTCTCATGACGTTCTTGGAGGTGTATCAAGTCTAGGAGTCGAGTTCAAGACGGGGCCACTGCCGATGGTGCTGAGATTAACAGGTTACGGTCTGGGCGAAACTGATACGCCGGCAACAGCCACAGACCCGCTTCCGCCCATCTCGACTAGCTACACATCTTTCCAAGCATCTCTTGGCCCTCACTGCCCTCTTCATCCTTATTCCCGCTCTTGTTTCTTAACTTTTGCTCGTATACTCTAACTTGTTTGGCCTACGCGCACCGACCACTATTTTGCCCAAACTGTCTTCTTTGCGTTATACACCCCTAACAGTCAACGGTCTTTCCTTCGATTCTCAGCGAATGGACCGTTGTGCGCACCGTGGTATGCCGCAGTCAGACTGGGGCCGGGCACGATGGAAATACATAACCCCATATGTACCGATGGGGAAAACGTAGATTAGAAGCCGCCATCTCGCAGCAAACGCAGGGCGATTTTTCTCCAGGCTTCATTCTTTTGCTGTCCATCTTCCTCCCTTCGTTTTACTTTCAGCTTCGATATAGGAACATCCCGTGCATTCTTTTCGGGGTACGAGGTACACAGACCAAGTCACCCACAGACTCCCTTTTTCCCTCTCTCTCGACATCCCTCTTTTTTTTATATATAACAGACGCAAGTCTGAGGCATCTCAATAATTCAGCCTTCTGAATTCCAGCTTGAGCGAGGAAACTTCCTACCCAGGACAATGGACTTTCAGACATCCAGACGAGGACTGGTGCCCGCATTCCTTCTTTCTATGCTTACTGTTACCTTCTGCGCGTCGACAAACAACGCACCCAGCACCGCCTCGAAGCGAGACTCAAAGAAGGCTACCCAGCCGCTCAGCTCGGACCGTGTAACCGATTTCGAGGAAAGGCAGAATGTATTGATCTCGCTGATATAAAATACAGGACTTTTGGTTCACCAATGTGACGGTCGGAGACGGATCCAGCATGAATCTACTCGTCGACACGGGCTCAACAAACATAGTACTCAACATGGGATTATACAAACCATCCAAAGACTCTGTGGACACGAAAGAGCCTTTTGCCGTCGCTTATGGGACCGCCCAGAGCAACGGGACCGGGTCAGCATTTGTAAGGGCTGTCATCCCTTCCCAATCCGCCCCAACCGCCAGCTAGTGGCACGGCAAGCTCATAGCTGATGTTCGCATCCGTAGATCAACGGCACGCTCTACCAAGACACAGTGACCCTTGCCGGTCTCACAGTCGAAAACCAAACCCTCGGCGTTGCCAACGAGTCCCAGTCATCGACGAACTACCCCCACGACGGCATCATCGGGTTCGGCGCCCAGCGCTTCGCCGCCGACAATGCCACCTCTTGGTTCCACAACCTATGCGCTAACAGCCTCGTGGAAGAGTGCCGGTTCGGGCTCGCGCTGAACGACGCCAATTCCGGGTCGTTGGTCGTTGGCACCCTCGACAGTGATCTGTTTGATGGTGACTTGACCAAGACGCCGATCGCCGAGGAATGGTTCACGTACGGCGATGTTGTCGTGGGAGGGCAGACACTGGAGAAGGATGCGATTATTGAATTCGACAGCGGCAGCACCGCGATCGTGGGGTAGGTTCTTACTTTATCACTGCCATCTTTCCTTCCATCCCTCCTTCTCCAAGCCCCTATAACACGTTTCCTACTGACTTGCCATGCTCTTTCCTAGCCCAACCGACGCCGTGACCAAGATCTTCAACTCGCTCGGCGCCGTCGTTTCCTTGTACGGGACGTTTGACGAGCCTCTGTTGACAGCACAAGTATCCTGCTCGACAAACGCCACGGTTGGTTTCCGCTTTCCGTCCAGCAACGTGACTGCCGCGGAGCAGAGTGTCAAAGCGCGGACCTTTGACGTCCCGATCGCAAGTCTGCTGGTTCCTTCGACAGACGCGTCAAATCCGAACTGCACTGTCGCGCTGGTGGGGCAGGATTTTGCGGACTTGCCGGGACTGTGGGTGCTGGGCCAATGTACGTATCACTCGCCCATCCATCTCTCCCTCGATTTGTGCGTGTTAGTGTGGTTGTGGAAATGCTAACTCGCTCATTTTTCTCGCCTGCTTTCTCTAGCGTTCTTCCAGGGCAAATACATTGATCATAATCTCGACGACGGGACGATTGGACTGGCCACCCTGAAAGCGTCCGCTTCTAATTCGTCATCTGGTTCTTCTGGGTCCGACTCGGGCACTGGCAATGGCAATGGGAGTTCCAGTGGCAGCGGCAGTGGTAGTGGAAGTTCTTCCTCATCCAACTCGGCCGCCAGTCTTCGCGGTCCTGTTTATTTGGCGTGCGCTCTCCTGGTCTTGTACTTTGGCTTTGGATCTGCCATGTTGTAACGAAGAAAAAGGAAAAAGGGACTTGGCCGGATACATGCTTTTATTGAGTAGACGGTATTACGTTTTCCCCTTCTACTCCGGGTCGACGAGGGCAAATTGGAAAGGTGGGAAGGGGTGTATGGCTAGGTTCGTCTTCTTGCCTCCTCGGCCAAGGCTCGTAGTGGACCTTTATCCCGAAATGCGAACCCTGCAGCCATCGTAAGGGATGGTTCAATTAGTTATCAGTCAGTCAGTTTGTCCGTTATTTAGTGTACTTATCGTACATGATTCGGGACTTGGTGCCTACGTATGAGGAGGTGAAGGAGGACGAGATGGTCCATCGATGCTCGTCGTATTCGTACCATCCACCATACCCCGTACCCACAAGACCAGGGGTGGAAAGGGGGGAGGGGCGCGGAAACCCGGGAATGCAGAGATCTCGACTCGCAAAGACGAGGGTGGGCGAGGTGATGAGGTGATGATGTGATGAGCTGACCTGGTTCGGGAGGTTGGGTATTGCAGCAATTCCATCCTACCCATCAACGGAGTCCAAAGCGAGCCAAACGACTCGGATCAACCGAGGCGCGTGCAGGCGCGTGCTACGTAGTATGAACGAGGTACACTTATGTACGAGCTACAGTTGTCACATAGGTACTCCATACTCTGGGCATAGCTAACCCGCCCAGGGAAACTCCCAGTGGAGCAACCTCATGCATGGCCTGCCCTTTATGGAGCCTCACTAGGCCTACTAGCCGTTCTAGGCGTCTCGTGGGACCCCTCCATCGCCCATCACTCGCCAATTGCGGGCAGCGGGCAGCATACCGGCCCGGGCTTCTGGGGGGTGGATGGAGGAGGGGCGCGGGCGTGTTTTCTCAGCGTCGTATTCTAGAGAAAGCTGGCCCATGTTTCGCCAGGATGCAACAACATTCGTATGTAGGAAGTCTAAAGAGTTAACGGTCGGTCGGACGATTTTTCTATCCATTCCGTCCATTCTCCTGCATCTTGATTGGAAAAGCTTGTCGTTGCTTATACATATCAAAGCGCTCGCCTCTTTTGCCCACGATCTTGTTCACGATTTGCTATTCTTTGGATTCTTTTTTAGAGGCCCGAGGGTGCGCTGTTACATCATTATCATTAGCCATCATCGTTGTCCGGACTGAACCTGCTTTGTTAGCGCTTCCTTCATCAACCCTTGTTCAAAAGAAAGACCCTACCACTACCGGCTAACAAACCAAGATTTGTTCCATCTGCGACCTCCCGGACACCAAACCAAATCCAACCAGAAATAAAGGTGAAACATCAAAATAAGAAAGAAAGAATGGTCAGCAACGCCGTCGTCGTACCCGTAGCGGTCCTGGCCGCCCTGTCAGTCGCCATGTTCGTCTTCATCTGCTGGTGGTTCCCGCGGCACTACAAGAAGGGCGTGGAGCAGGACATGAACATCATGGACAACGAGCGGGCCGAGCGAGACGAAATCCACGTCGACATGGGCCACCAGGCACAGCTCATCGGCGAAGACGGCGCCCCGCGCAAGAAGACCCTCGAAGAACACATCGCCATCGCGAGGGAACAGATCCGGAGGGGTGGCCATAACCCGTCGACGACGCCGTATTGAGATTTATATGCGCTAAGGGGGAGAGAGGGCTTATAGTTGAATAGATGGATGGACGCAACGAGGCTGAAAAGGTCAAAGCACATCAAATCCAGCTGCTGTCCCTCCAACTCAGCGGAAAGGTGATGACGGACGTCATGTCCAGGGCCAGGGAAAAGAAAAGGCGTTCTCAGGAGCTGTGCCACAGGCTTGTGTTAGGCAAATCCTCTTGCTGTTTGTTCTTTGTTTGTCCGTTGGCCACGCTGTGATGAAAGGACCCAGACGACGCCCATCCTGCAGTTGGATGACCTTCGCAATCCGAGTGCATTCAGTTCAATCCTTCATGAGCAGGCATATTCCGAAGTGTTGCATTGATCCTTCCCTTTCACGCCCTGCCGTTTCCCTGGGACAGACTATGTGGAGAGATGGATCTGCCGTTCTGTGTCTGTATACGGCCATAAGAGCACCAAATCTTAACCTCACCAAAGTCCATTTGCGCTTCCAGACCTAAATGTCGCTATTTGATGTGAGCCGTGACCAAGCCAGTGGATATGTCTAGACAGAAAAGATGTTTAGGAGACGTCGACTCTCGTTCTTTTCGCAAGAACTTCGGTGACGCGATCGACCTCGAAGTTAAAAACCGAAACCGATACGAAAACGTCCCAATTCTAGACCATTGCGAACCATCGACTGGGTCTGGCACAATTATCAACCATGTCAAACTGTGTTGTTAAATATCACCAGAGCCCACCTTCTGTCTCAGAAAGCCAGGGACATTCCCTGAAGCAGACTCATGGTTTCCTGTTTGTGTCAATGGTAAAGCCCACACCTCAGGTGTCTGTGCAACATTCATCCTGAAGTCGAATTGGTAATTAAGAAGCCCAATCCAATCCAATTCCGTCTGTGTATGGGTATTGCTGTCCTCGAAGAGCTCCGGGCTCGACAACTTGGGTCCGAGTGGCCCATCGGCAATCTCACATCTGAACACCGGCGACTCAATAGTCAGATGCAGCTCATTTCCAGAAGCAACTGATCTCAGCCGATAATATCTTCGCTGTAAACTCGATTTTGTCAGGATCATGAGGACCAAATACGACACCGGCATCCACTGAGAGCCACGGCCAAGTCGGCTGTCTGTTGTCTAATCTCTCTGACTTTGGGTGCGTTCTGTATTCGTCTGTTCGCGTCGAGCGGCCAGCAGATGTCCATAGCAGGTCCACCAGGAGATACTCTCGCCAGATACCATTGACAGTTCCCGCGGTATGCTCGTCAGGATCGCCTCGTATGGCATGATTTGCATTTGGCGAAGAGGCAGCAAAGATAGTCTTGGATCTTCTTCCAATCATATAGCTCATGCTCATTTTCAACTTGCTCCGCTCATAAACGCCCCGTCCAGCATGCGGATCTGCATCGGAAAGGATTGATTCACAGCACTCCCAGTGGATACCCAATCTTGCTAAAATAGAGCGCGTCCTTGGAGACAATACACGCTCTTGCACAACCTAAGCTCTCCGATGTAGACTCGGTATTTGACTGTCATCATGAGATGCTCCATGCTCAAAAATCATTGTCCCTTGCGTTGGTGATACATTCCGAGTATACATCGCCACGTCTTCGCAAGCCAAAACAAAGTCGTGTCCGCTCTTTGTTTGTAGTCGGCAGGGGACTCGAGCGAGCGGTATTCGCGCTGCAAAACAGCCGTCGGCACCGTTGGCCGAGCTCAAGGCGGCGATAATACAGATGCTTCCACCGTAAATGTACCCCATGCTCCGGATTTTCGCTTCGACGTCCCCCGAATCACCTTGGATGATACACAGTGCGTCGGTCCATCGCCTGCTGTATCCGAGACGTCGTGTGATCCGTACCGCGTCTTGAAAAGTTCGAGACAACGAACCGAAGGGAGTGTCTTTCATGAAAGCATGTTAGTTGGCCGCTTCAAGGTTAAAGATGGGCTCTGTTCCCCAGCAGTGTGAGAGTGTCAGGTAAGGTTCCGGAGAGCCAGCGACAGGCCCTACCTCCACAAGATGAAGGCTTGGTGCCTCTGGATTTCCAGAAAGGGCAAGCAATCGTTTTGGGCGTCCATCATCGATTGAGCTGGAACACAACGAATGTTGCGCGATGCAGGTTGCCAACCAGGATCTCGCAAGCTCTAAAGTCGCTTCGGAGACTGTCGATGACGTCCTCACACACTCGTTGCGTATTCTGTGCCAGGAGCAGCTCTCACCGCAGAGTTGCTCAGAAACGGTGTACCAAAATGAGCAAGTGTTTCTCACGGAACTGAGAGTCGTTAACCTTCCTCTCCACCTGGGGAGGCTGGACTCCAACCCTAGTCGAAACTAGAAGACAGGCTTTGCGCTGCCGGTATATGTTTCCGAGCCCATGTCGAGGCGGATCGGCACAATTTTCAAGGCGAGTTGTCCCTGAGGCAAGCAGCCTGAAGGCTCGAAAACTTCAGAGCAACATGATGCATATAGGAGAGAGCAAATATGGCAGCCATTAAGGACAGATTTAATAAGCTCACCTAGGTCGGAGTGGTGATCCCATCGCTCACGCTTAAGTTCTGCTGTGCTGTCATATTTTTGTCAATGATCAGAGCAAGCGTATCACTTCGCTCCATGATGCTCCGGCACACCAAACAGAAATCATTTGCCGGTGGTTGGTAATCAGGGACTTGCGGATGTTCTTGATGAGTCGAAGCATTGGAGAGCCTAAGCATTGACATTTTCGAGTTCAGTTTATCGGCTTCAGCGACCTTGTACAGGCATCTTCAGAGTTATTGATAGAAAGATTGTCACGTGAACAGTACGATGATCAATGAAACCATCCAGCTGATTGTTTTGACCACTAATTAGGGTATGTCGTTGGTCGTGGATTAGCCAAAATCCCTAGTTTCTAAGTGTACCGCGCCATATAAATCAGTGCTCTGCGTTCTATACAATGAACGACGCGGTAGCCAGCTCGCCTTTATGGATACTCCTGGTGGAGCGCTAGCAGGCAACCGTAGGTATGGAGGTGAGGCAAAGCAGAAGTTAAGCGCCGGGTACCAACTCTCTCGACAAGATGTTTACCAATTACTGCTCCCAGAATCAGCCGTCGAGGCAACGTCAGGTGCGATGTAGAAAAAACAGTGGCTGATGCCGAGTTCGTAGTCACCCTCACTCCAATGCACCGGCTTAGCAGCGGGTGCCAAAGGGCCACGTTCCGGGAGTATGTCCGTATGAATAAAATGAAACCATTTCGGTATATTAATACAAGTGCGACTCACTAGTCGTCAGCGTCACTTAATATGGGAAGGGTGCAGCGCCAGTCACAGGGCTCGACCATATAGAGAACCCTCTCGATCAGCACACTTACTCAACTCGGCCACTTGGAGATCCACAATTGGCTGACTTTGACACCATGACACGGCGAGGGGGGTTTGCATTGTTGAGATGAGAAGACGGGCGGGTGGCGATGTTGCTTCGGGAGTGTCTAGAATACACTGAAGCGGTTCTCAAAAGGGCTCCGCCGCATATCAGGCAGTTGATGGAACAAAGCCATAATGGCATCCGAGAGCAGATAAGTAACAGTAACCGGAGTATGCTGTTCCAAGTGGAATACGAAAAGAAGCACATACAGGCTCGTTTGACCGTCATAAGTACATCACATCAAATTAACAGGTCGGTTCCTATAACGGCCGATCTTAGGTGTGTCGATGTACAACTGTAGAAGAACAACCAAATCTCGATCCCATACTTGTGGTGTTTGCACTGTTTGTCACATTTGGTCGCCCCTGCATTAACTTACCTAAAGTAGACTTATCTTGGCAACCCCCCCCCCCCCCAAGTGCTCCTACCTGCTTGGCACCATCGGTGCTAAAAGCAGCGACAGTAAAACTCCGCTTCGAGCCTGGCGTGACCTGATGTGGTCGCCGTCGAAAAAGTTGCAGGTCGCCCGAGCCGCGAAACGAGGCTTTGTGCAGCTGCACTTTTCCTGCGCTGCGACAGTTGAACCACTTCATCGTGTGTGTTGTTGACACATGATCTGAGCCATTGTTAAGCCAGTCTCAGCGCTCATTGATCCAATACTGTTTTGCACGTTTGGCTGTGTCTGTAACGATTTACACCAGGACTCCGTCTTGTGTCGCGACTATGAACGGGGACAACTACCCAAGAGGTGCCTTTACCCCCCCTGCGTTTTCTCTCAACGCTTGCTGACCTCTTCAGACCCCGGGCGCTCTAGAGAGCATCACGTACGTCATCCTGAATCTTGGTGTCTTGCAACGGTGGCAACTGACATTGTTTTAGACCTCCAGATACGAACGAGATGAGCGCAGAGACCGCGACCGGGACCGAAATCGAGATCGAGGCGAGCGAAGACGATCAAGATCTCCACATCACCGTTCATCGCGACGTGACTACGAAGCGGACTCCTATTCTTCGAGTCGAGACTATCGGGCGCGCGAAAGAGAGGACAGGCACGGATCGAGGCGAGACGATCGGGATTGGGACAGAGACAGGGGCCCAAGACGTCGTGACGACGACAGGCCGCCCAGGAGGGATCGCGACTTGTTCGATGACCGACGGGGGGCCAACCGTGATCGTGATCGTGATCGGAGCGGGCGAGAGGACCGCGATGAATTCGCTGCTCAAGCTCGAGGCCGGAAGAACAGTCCTCCTCCCAAGAAGAGGGAACCCACTCCCGACCTCACAGATGTCGTTCCGATATTGGAGCGCAAGAGGAGAATGACGCAGTGGGATATCAAACCACCCGGTTACGAGAATGTCACCGCAGAGCAAGCAAAGATGTCGGGCATGTTTCCATTGCCAGGCGCCCCGCGACAACAACAGATGGATCCGAGTCGGTTACAAGCCTTCATGAATCAACCATCGGGCGGCGCGAATGCTACCGCGCTAAGGCCGTCTAATGCGCGTCAGTCAAGGCGATTGTTCGTCCACAACCTTCCGGCGTCCGTCACCGAGGAGAGCCTGGTAGCTTTCTTCAATCTCCAGCTCAATGGTCTGAATGTCACCAAGAGCAGTGATCCTTGTACACAGGCAAACATCGCCGAAGATAGGAGCTTCGCACTGGTGGAATTTAAGCAGCCCTCCGATGCGACAGTGGCGTTGGCCATGGATGGAATCACAATGGAGGAGCATCATTCTGAGATGAACGGCAATGGGGCTGCACCTCCCAAGGGGTTGGAAATTCGACGACCCAAGGATTATATTGTTCCATCTGCAGATGAGGATGCATATACAGATGGCGAGATATCTACTGAGGTTCCCGACACAGCAAACAAACTAGCCATCACAAATCTGCCGCCCTTTTTGACAGACGACCAGGTCATTGAGTTGCTAAAAGCATTTGGAGAACTAAGAGCCTTTGTTCTGGTGCGGGACAGAGATGCATCGGAATCAAGGGTAAGTCACATTGGCCCCGGCCTACGATGCAACTTTCTAACCGCTCAATAGGGCATCGCTTTCTGTGAATATGCAGACCCATCCGTCGCTGCCGTTGCAATTGAAGGTCTCAATGGCATGGATCTAGCGGGCAATGCTATTAAAGTCACCCGTGCGAGTATTGGATACACACAAGCCGCTGGGCTTGAGATGGGCGTTAACGCCATGTCTATGTTCGCCGGAACCACGGCTGAAAACTTGGAAGACGGGCGTGTCCTACAACTACTGAACATGGTGACACCGGAGGAACTTATCGATAATGATGATTATGAAGGTAAGGAGGGAAGGAAGGGACATGCCCTCTCCTACCCCTTCCGTTTCCCCCTTTCTGCTTCGGGTGTCAAATGCTAACCAAGCCCTTCCGGCGTGGCAGAAATCTGCGAAGATGTAATGGAAGAATGCCAAAAGTACGGCAAGATCCTAGGTATGAAGATTCCTCGCCCATCTATGGGAAGTCGGCAGTCCGCTGGCGTGGGCAAGATCTTCATCAAGTATGAGGAACCTGAATCTGCGAAGAAGGCGTTGCAAGCCCTTGCGGGACGCAAGTTTGCTGACAGGACTGTTGTGACGACTTATTTCGATGAGGTACGTTCCGTTATGTGTGCAATCCGTTCTCAGCACTTTCAGAAGGAGAAGACTCGAGCACTAACAACCTATGAATCTACAGGCTAGTTTCGATGTAAATGCCTGGTGACCCTCCCATTCCTGACTCAAAATGATCCAATCGCAAAAATACTCTTCAATCCGTCCGCTTGCGATCTTCTTCCACGATTGGTAGAGTGTTACGGCGCCGTGACTGCAGTCCCAACAGCGCCTGGTCTCATCAGCCTTCAAGTAGTCGTTGGGACTACTGATGGATATGATGATCTAGCACCTGGCCCTGAGATACTGTCGCTGATAGCACCGTTGAATGGTCTTCAAGCGTCTCGCCTGTGTCGCCTACGAGCACTGGAGAGTTGCCGCCGAGGTAGAAATTTGACCTTTGTTCAAACAGACACAGGTGACAGGACAGGACAGGACAGGACAGGACAGGATTCAGGAACCATATTTATTTTTCCCACATCTCTTTTTGACGCTGCCTTGGCACCCTGGAATCATGGGAAGGAAGGAAGGACTCAAAAGTTGCTGTGTGCGTCGCAGGGCCTTGAAAACAGAACCTGGGTATTATTGACTGGATCGAGTTGGATCGGTCGGGTCTGATCTCTTCCCCCCTTCCCCCCCCCCCCCCGCGGAAACTGTACTTTTAGATCCGAGACAAAAAAACAGTCCTTCATGCTTGTTGTGTATACATGGATGGCCGCTGCGGGCCTGCTTGAACTTGAACATGACAACGTGGACTGTATTGCAAGTCGCATGGCGTACCTACTTGTTATTAGATGCGAATCTACAATGCGGATGAGATATCGTTACGGAGCGCAGCCACCGACCTGACAATCAAAGCGCGTTGCAATGCATTGGGACATCTTACTTCCTTGTATTTTGCTCTTTGGGTGAAGTGACAGTGTCTCAATCATGTTTATTTCATCCAGCTCGCGCACAAAGAGTAGGAGCCATTTCCTTATGCCTGCCTCGTCCCGACCACCTCAAACCCAGTCTGCTCGGCTGTAACAGCTGTTCACCTGTTGATGCAATCATTTCTAGCTGTCCTGTCATGCACTCCGTGTCTCACCCGGGTCCATCTTGATGTTCATGAGATGTCTCTGATTCACGTGGCATTTTTCTTGCCTCTCGTGCTTCATGTTTGCCGGGTCTATTCCTGACCACCCGCTGTACACAAAGGACGACAAATACCCCGGGATTTGACTCCTTGCACAAATTTGTTCATTCAGTCATCATCGAAAATCAACTTGGTGATCTTCCCCACAGCGATGGTCTGGCCTTGGTCTCTGAGTGTAAACCGTCCTAATTGGGGATAATCCTCGAATCTCTCGACACAAATCTTGCCTCCACCGCTTGTGACCTGTAACCTTGCAATGATATTCTGTCCTTTTGCGGCAAATGGAGGCGGTTTCTTACTCTTGCGTCCAGTCTTCGGTTCGAGTTTGTGAAGCAACGCTGCAAAAGTTACTTCTTCCGTGGCGGCATGTACGTGCAAGACGCAGTTAAACCCTGCAGAAAGGATGGATTTCAATTCTACGATGTTGATCTGTGCTTCAAACTCCTTGACGCAGTGAACGAGGCGTTTGGGTGAGCAGAGCACGAAGCCAGGCTGAATGTCTTCTTCCTCAATTCCTCGCAAGCGGATGCGCACTTGTTCACCGCAGGTGGCGTAGGGGATTTCATCTTCCGTCTCACCATAGAGGGCTGAAATGCCAACCTCCTCGCGGTTCGGCATCATGATGTAGGTGGAAGTCTTTTGAATCACGCCGGCTTCGATGCGGCCTTCGATCATGGTGCCCATGTCTCTATATTTGGCGCCAATGGGCATCATGAAGGGAGCATTGATGTTGCGCTGAATCTTTGCCATGCCGTCCAAGAATTCCAGGAGGGAGGGGCCATTGTACCACTTTGCGACGTCAGGGGGAATGCGGTCCTTGACATTGATTCCCGTTTGAGCGGAGATGGGCATGAAGGTAGAGTCTAAGCCGATCCTTTTTTTTAGGTATGGTTTCAGCTTGCCCACAATCTCGTCGTACCGTTCCTTGGACCATTCCACTGTAGGGTCGTCCATTTTGTTCACCACGACGACCAGCTCTTTGGCACCGGTGGTCTTGATCAGCATGGCATGCTCTTGGGTTTGTCCACCCTTTTCAAACCCGGTCTCGAATTCACCCTTTCGAGCAGATATAACCAGGATTGCAACGTCTGCTTGAGCTGCACCGCTCAGCATATTCGGCACATATGTTTTGTGGCCCGGCGCGTCAAGGATGGTGTATCTCCGTTTCTCTGTTTCGAAGAAGCCCCGGCCAACTTCAACTGTCTTTCCCTTGGCTCTTTCTTCTTTGTTCAAATCCAATACCCAAGAAATGTACCAGGTTTCTCGCCCAGCGTCTTTAGCGTCTCGCTTATATTTCTCCAGTGTGCGTTCATCAACCATGCCCGTTTGAATAAGGACCTGGCCACCCAGTGTGGATTTTCCAGCATCAACGTGGCCGATAAAAATGACGTTGACGTGTTCTTTCCCATACATCTCTTCCAGGACTGATGCGTCCACATCAGCCGTTTGTGATTCCGCGACTTCATCCGCATTTCGTTGCTTTTTTGCATCCGCTGGTGTCGGAGAAGATTTTCCTGATGATGGGGCAGGTGATGTCTTTCCGGACACTTTTTCACCAGTCTTTTCAACGGCTTTCACCGCAGCAGCTTTGGCTCCGGCCTCAGCTTTAAGAGTTGTTGGCTCGTCCTTGGTGGTCGGAGAGGCTGGTTTCTTAGGGGAGGCAGATGCCGATGTTGGGACACCAATCGAAAGGACCTTCGCCTTTAGAGGTGCTGCGGTAGCTGGTTGTGGTTTGGATGCAGGGGCAACGGGAGTTGCTTCAGCCTTAGTTGCTGGAGGTGGGGGCTGTTGAGGTGTTGGGGCAGCGATAGGTTGGGTGTCCGATCTCTTTGCAATGCTTATGGGGGCACCTTGTCTGGGTTGAAAGCCGCCAGGTGTCTGATTGTAAGCGGCGAATTGGCCGCTGTTGTAACCTTGATTGTAGCCTTGTTGCTGCTGATACTGAGGATATTGGTTATATTGCTGGCCGTATTGAGGGTATTGGTTGTAGCCTTGCTGTTGCCCGTACCCGTAGTTCTGGTAGCCATTCTGTTGGTATGGCTGCCCCGGCTGGAAAGTGGCAGCACCAGGCTGAAAAGATGCGGCTCCAGGCCGGAAAGTGTTGGCATTTATGCTCATATTTTGTGTCTTCTTCGAAAGGTCTTCCTCTTGCGCCGCCGCGTCTTCCCAGGAATCAAAGTTGCCCGCCATTCTTGAAATTGGTTGAAAATTTTGACTGATGAAAATGGGAAAGCGCTCTTAAGAGGAGAAAAAGTGTAGGGTTGCAGGCCGTGAGTCAAAGTTAAGCGGAGATTTGGGATCTCGACGGAAGTAGACTGCGGTTGGGTTCACAAGGTTCATTATTTGGAGGGGCAGTTTTTGGCAACAAAAAATTCCTTGGCAAGGCTGAGTTGCAATGATTTCATTGTTGGTAAGGCTGCAGTTTCGCGCCACCCAGGTCTAGAGCAACAATGTCATCCGTCTGCAATAGCAATTGGTAAGAATACTTAGGTATGTACAGCATGCAGTACGCTACGTGGAGACTGCATTCTCCAACTATGGGCGTTGATGCCTGTTGCACACCTGCGACAGTTGCATGAGAAGAACGTGTCACCGAGAACTTCACTTCCGAAATCTGCTCTCTTTTCCTTCTGCTCGACGCTGTCATTTCTCCTTCGCACTCAAAAGCTGCCGTTCAGCGGGAGTATTCGACGCTGTACTTTGCAAAAATGGACGTTTTCCTGGGGAAAGTGACCCAACAGGCCATGAACTATGCCATTCGTTCAGGAGTCACCATTACAGCGTCATACGCGATCAGGCAATCAGCCAAACTCCTCAACAGCACGCCGAAAAGCAACATCCGAGATGAATTGTATGCTTTGCAACAACGACTGCAGCATAAAATCCGCATCGTGTCGCCGGCTATTGACATGATCGAACTGATTGCAGCTCGAGGAAACACCTCTCTAGAATCAGCTGTCGCTCTTACCAAGGAGCTGCGCCTAGAGATACAATCTCTGGGACAACGACTAGCCAAGGCAGCAGAGGAACAAGCTGCTCGGAAGACCAGCAAGCTCAGTAGCCAAGCTAAAGCTCAGACTGAAGCAGAGTTGGCTTTGATTGTCAAGGACATCAAAAAGTTACTGGAGAGGATTGAAGATGCCGTGCCCTTGATCAATCTCGCCATCACTACCTCAGGTGCCAGCCTTTCAACGTCATTACCACACTCGGTTTCCCCCTCACGACTTCTACAAGCCAGCACGTTCCTTACAGCAGGCGACACTCAGTACTCCATCTCTCCAAATCACGCCGTACAAATCGGACCCACATTCACTCTTACCGTCTACATGCTGTTTGCGGGCCATGATCGCCCCCAAAACGAAGAAGAAATCCGGGAAACAACTTGGAAGGAAGTAATTCATAAAGCAAGAGTGAAGCTACGGCGAGTTCCCCTCGACGTCGTGCTCGGGACTGGGTCCGGATCCGACGCCATTCCTGCCGCCGAAATCTCTTCTCCTTGTGCGATTCCAAATGCAAAGACCGACCTGCCTGATTCCGCACCAAGTATCCGTGCAGATGCCCGAGCCGATGAATACGCCTACCAAATGATGATCATTGAAGACTTTGACGACGACCGCGTCCACGACTTCGAAGACGACCAGGCTCATCCGGGCCCGTTTGACGATGTCATGCTCGCAGGAATACGGGAGATGATTCCTGTACATGAGATATCCAAGATATTCTATGCAGATACGAGCAAAGTCCTGAATATCGGGAGCGATGCAGAGAGTAATCATCCGGTATTGTTGTTGAAGAGAGACCTGAACGCGATCCCACCGAGGCGAATGGGGGACAGAGATGGGGCGCTAGGAATAGCAGAAGTCGACCAGGATAGTGAGCAAGCTCAAGATCTAGTAGCAGAGCTGGAGGAGAAGCTGCAGGAACAGCAATATGTCGAAGAAGACCGCAACGGTGATCCATGGCGCTTCCCACCATCTCTCGACCCAGAATGGATTGCGTTTGAAGTGTACACGGAGTCTGAACCAAGCGACACTGAATCCGATATCGAAGGAGAATCCACTGATAGCACGAGTAACAAGGACGACCCTACGCGCCAACTCACAAATTCAATGGCAAACGTGCACATCACCTCGCCTCCTCACTCCTCTGCTCCACCCTGGGCCAACTCCATCCGCACCTCTTTATCCCTCCTCGAACTCCTCTTGCGACTCACCTCACTGCAACAATTCCAGCAACAGTCACACCTCTCCATTACGGACGAACTGCTTACTTTCTTCTTGGAAGAGAGCGCCTCGACGGGCGCAGGAGGGGATGAGAAGTATCGGCAGGCGCTGAGAGCCGACGCGAGGAGGAGGGTCGGGTGGGATCCGTATGACGAAAGTCCCGTCAAGAGGCGGGGGGAAGAGTATCAGTATCAGAGCAGGGGGCACTATGATGAAAGCAACACGAGCCCGAGGAGTCCGCAGAGCGTCGGCAACATCAGTAGCGGTGGAGAGGGATGGGTGATCAGTCCTCCGAGAAGCGGGAATGGAAATGTCAGGGCGCCTAGACGGGTGACGATGATGTCGTCTAGTCCGTCACCTGCGCCGTCGCCGATAGAGACCCCCGGAAAGGCCGGGAGGGCGGGATGGCTAAGGAGAGAGGGAGGTGATGGAAGCAGGAAGGGGAGTCCACTGAGGCCGCAGACCGCATTGACGGACGAGGGTATCGGGACGAGTCCTGCAAGTGCAGTCAATAAGGCTTGATGAAGCCTAGCACCTCATTTCAGGGGAGAGTGGACTCGGACAGGAATCCAGACACGAAGAATAGGAATGAAGAGCCATGAGGCCCTTTAAGGGCGCCAGAATAAAAGGCGACTGGCGGTTTGTTTGATGAGACCATTCTAGAAAATTGCAAAGCAAGTATTAAGACCATGTGAATCTATAATACATGCGGAACATTATAGTTTCGAGCTTCCCCAAACCCCCATCATTATCTAACTGCTCTGCTATTGCGTTTTCTCTTGTTGGCGAATCCTTAGCACCCCGTTCGGGCGTCTGAAGAGACTGCTATGTACATCGACTCGCCTCGACCGCGATGCTGCCGACATTCGAGGCTGTTGACATTTAGCAACCATGTTTACCACTCGCCTTGGTACCTCGTAGTCGGATTAGGTTTGCTGATGGGCTCCGTATCACAAATCCTCAAGAGCGGCTTGGTACGGATTTGATCCCCAATTCCGGCGGAACAGATATTCGTCATGAAGCGCAAAATGTACTGCGTACCTTGACCAAATCTTTCGACTGCTTTGACGTGTGCTTATTGAGAAATATAGTTTGTGAGGTATAGATTTGAAAATCGCACTCGGCAACTTCATCTGACTCCCATTGATGCTCTTATCTGCATGATTTGTGCCCTCTCGGTCGGAGAAAAGGAATCAATGGTCCTCTGATCCATGGCCAGGACTTGTTGGATCATCTCTTGATGAGACAGCTGAGGTTGGGTGGGAGGTTGTTGAGGTGGTTGTTGCATCGTTGTAGGTGGATATTGCTGAGGTCTGGGAGGCATTTGGCCGGCTACTATGGGCGGCGGAAAGCCAGGATACTGCTGTGGAGCGGGCTGTGGTGGAGGAATGCTGGCCGGCTGAGGTGGTCTGGCAGCTTGTTCGACGACTTGTGCCAATACTTTGGGATCCACGAGATTCATCAAGATCAGAGCCTGGAATATGGCGTAAGAGAGTTGTGGCGCAGTCTTAAGGAGCGAGGTTGCCCTTGCAGGATCTGAGATGGCAAGCGCCTTCATCTGAGTTAGGACATCGAGTAGCTGTGGTGGCGGAAGCGTAGCAAGGGTCTGTGAAATGGCATCGGTGGCCCTGAGGTTTGGAGGAAGATCAGTACCTGGAGGCAGAGGAGGGAGGGCGCTGGCCGCTGTTTGTTGGAGTCCGTCCGCCCCAGGACCGGGAGTCTGGTCGTAATTTGTTGGCACCGAGTCTTTCTCGTTGTTGTGAGGCCAGTCAACGCGGATCTTGCGGCCATCGATCTCGAAATCGTTCAAGTTCCTAACCGCGCTGGCCGCCTGGTCAGCATCCTGGAAGTCTGCGAAGCCGAATCCCTTGGATTTGCCCGTATCGGGATTTGTCATCAGCCTGAACTTGACAACCGTGCCAACTTGACTGAGTATCTTGACAATGTTCTCCTCGCTCAGATCTGATGAAAGTCAGTAGGCTGGAAGTTACAGGATCAAGAGTAGAGGCTCACTGAAGGGAATATTGCCCACGAAGACGCTGCGACTTTGTCCAGGAGCCATGTTTAGTTGACCACGGGTTGAAGATATTTAACTGAAATTGGCGGTAGGGAAAGCAGAGGATTGGAGGGGCATGTAAATAGTGGTTGGTTTGAGAGAGACGCAGGAGGAATGTATGGAGGAGAATGTACTGCCTCCCCGTACGCAGTTAAACAGCGGCGCCAAGCTCTTTGCTTCTCCGCAGCTGCAACACGGAAGCTTCACTTGAATGGTACCATCATCGACGTTGCCTTATGCTCTCAAACCTGGGAGCCAACCTGTCCACAATTTGGCGTTCTTAGCAAGGGCGCAAAGATGTCCTACGATCCACGGGAACACTTTCAACAGATCCAGCGGACTCTGCAACAGCGTCGTGGTCAAGGCTTCGGAGGCCTTCCTGGAGGCGGCGCCGCGGGCAGAGGAATCTTCGCTTTGATCGGTCTTGGGGTTGCCGGCGTCGTTCTATCGAATTCTCTATTCAATGGTAATTCCTTTCAGATATTTCAGGCATCGATGTGTTTTGACGAGATGTAGTGGAGGGTGGTCATCGTGCCATCAAGTACAAGAGAATATCCGGAGTGGGAAAAGAAATCTACAACGAAGGTAGACGAACGCTCAATATTCTGTTACTTCATGGGTCACTGACGTGGAACAGGCACCCATATCCGAATACCTTGGTTTGAGACGCCCATTGACTACGACGTTCGAGCGAAGCCACGAAATGTCGCCTCTCTGACGGGAACAAAAGATTTACAGATGGTCAATATTACATGCCGCGTCCTCTCACGACCCCGTATCGAAGCTCTACCTCAGATTTACCGGACGCTGGGAACAGACTATGATGAGCGTGTCCTTCCATCAATTGTGAATGAAGTGTTGAAAAGTGTGGTCGCCCAGTTCAATGCGAGCCAGCTCATCACCCAAAGAGA